ATGCTGATGTCAGGGTCAGTAAGAGAAATGCCCTCGATAGAATAACCTGTTATCTGATCATAAGATAGCAACGTACCACCATAACCATCTAAAGAAGGGCTGATTGTTAGAAATATAAACAATGCAATTCAAAGATCCAAAATATCTTTATACATACCTTGTCGAGGCAGATAATCAAGGTTACAACTTTGTATATTAATACGCTCTTGATCTATTTGTTCATCAAAAAGCAAAGGTGGTGATTGTGAATAAACAAATAAAAAAGAACCGCAATATATTATATAGAAAGTAAAATAGCAAAACTATTTTTTCGAGAGTTAAAACATTGGAAGACACTTACCAATGGTGGAGAGTGGTTGCACGATAATATGGATGCGTTCTTCTGGAGGCGCGCCTGAGAAAATGTTTTTAACTAATTTAACTTCGTCCAACTCAACACCTTCTAATTCTTTTTTAATATCGATTTTGACGTCTTGAAGTTTTTTTTTGGTTTCTTGGGTTCCATCGATCTCAACCTTCCAAAGATACATTTTAAAGCTACTAATATCGTCTCTCTCCTCCAAGATTAATCTCTTGAGAAGTCCAACATTGAATTGATCAAAAGGGATTATATTATTTTTGACTGTAATTCTTTCTCCAAGAACAATCGGAAAACTACAAGTTTCACCTAGGACAAAACAATTTAAAATCATTTTGGCCAAATTTCTGCGAACGCGAAAAAAACGGAATTAAAAACAAGGTTCAAAAAGTTAATTTTTCAGTAAAGTATAAATAAAGACCTTTTTGGATATAGTGTTAGACTGGTAAATAGGGATTCTTCCTCAACTCTAATTTGGACATCGGAAGGCGAAAGAATAGTTTGTACCTGGGGTTGCAAGAGACATTTTGAATTATATAAGCGAGACTTTATACGTAATTATGTTGTCATTTATCCGATACCGAAGATATGAGATACATATTATTAGATATGTGGAACAAAATCCTTGACAAATTTGTCGGATAGAAATTATACAAGAGAGATATTATAGATCAAAAATTGATTAGCGAAGTCCTTAATTTTTTGTATTCTTTCCGGAATGACCTTTTCCGGATTTTTCATCGTACCACACTTCAAGAAGAAAAATTCCATTATTTTGGCATATACATCTTTTTAGCCGTATTCTCGAGTTTTTTGACATCTTTATACCAGCTAGTGCTATGGAGCCGATGCTGAGCCTCCTGTACCTCTAATGCAATTTGGTATTTCTGAAAGAAGGCATCAAGTTCTAATCCATTCAAGAAGGGAGGACGATACTCAATTATCGGCTTTTCTCCAAGTAATACTTGAGTACATTTTTCCTGGAATTTACGATTTTTCTTAGACTCTAGTTCTTTTTTAAATTCATCTTAATCCTGTTTTAACTTTATATTCTCAGTTTCAACTTTTTTGTCATGCTTTAACTTCATATTCTCGGTTTTGATTTTGATATTCTCATTTTTTAATTCAAATGCTAAATTGTAGAATTTATCATGAATTCTCGCTCTATCAATAAAAAGAAAGCCAAGAATGAATTGCAATTTCTTTACCAATTCATTGATCTCTTTATCTTCAAATGATCTGGGTTCAAGAACTCATTCGAAAATCATTTCTTCTTCAGGGAATATTTTTACCTCATTCCAAAGATCTTCAAATCGTTGCCACACCAATTCTGGTAAATTAATTTTGGGTTGTGTATTTGCCATGAAGAATCAGAGTTTATCCAAGGATCAAGGCCGGTTTCTTCCTTATAACGTTTATATAACTTAGGACGAATCTCATCTATCGAAATACCTGGCGATACAATAATTTCAGCTTGCCACTCCAAATATTCAGGAGTTAATGTTTTATGAGTTTTTGATTCTGTGATTTGCTCTTCCATATTAACGTTTACATGATCGTAAATTAATTCAAATTAGATATTGACTTTTCATAATTTCTGTATCAATTGCGAAAAAAATTTTCGATATGCTGTTAATATACATCAGTATAAATGCATCAAAAATAGCCACGAAGTAGATGCCTCTGGCAAAAATAAATATATATTTATCTTCTTTATTGTTACAAATAAAATACAGTGCACGTCAAAAGTATTCCCCCCCCCCACCCTAGGTCAACGAGGAGACAAGATAAACGAAAAATCTTTTTTTTATTTAAAAGCTCTGATTTCATACAACAAGGTTAGTACATGGATATAATCGCCCTCGGTCTCAATTAAAGCTTCTACACGCTTTCTTACACTTGAGACTAATCGGGCCGCATATTCTTTAGGTAAATGACGCCATTCTTTTTGTAATTCCCTCTTCAAACCCTTAACAGTTTTAATTTTTTTTTTGCCAGGTTATTTTTCATGAGCTTCCAGACATTTTCAATCAGGTTTTGATCAGAAGACATTGATGGCCATGGGAGAATCTTTACATACATTTTCTTCTTTCACGCCTTCACGATTTTTGAATGATGCTTGGAATTATTGTCTTCTTGAAGGATCTACTGATCATTTTCCTGACCAAAAAGTTCATCAGCAGATGGTAAAAGATCTATTTCATATATGTTTAGCAGGAAATTGGTATTGAGATTCCTCACAAAGCAAACCAGCTTGCCAAAGCTCACAGACAAAAAACATTCTCATACATGAATCTTCAGAGGATGCTTCATAGAATGACTTATCTTTCTCCTTTCAGGAAATTGCCAAGCCTATTTTATATCTTGATTTAAACAAAAGATACTTTCATCTGAAAAAATCATCTTGTTTTAGTCAAAGTTCCTATATTTTTTTATTTATTCTAGCTATTTTTGCTAATATTTCTCTGTAAGAAGAGATTTTGAAAGCTTACTTATGTATTTATCTTTCTCTTCATAAAGATAATATTGTATAGTATGTATATTAATATTAATATTTTGCTTAATCATCTTCTTTTAAATTTCTAAAGCTATTATATCAATTTTTTTTTGTAAGGTTCACTATTTACTTGTCTTATTATTAGGTGATTACTTTTTGTTAGTCTGTCTTTGATTTATTACTCAAGTCTTGATTTTCTCACTATTTTTGAATCTAATCATGGATTATTTTTTTATTATAGCAAATTATTTTAGTTATCTCATGTATTGACAGCTTGAGATCTGTTGAATAAATATGTAAAAAGATAATTTCATATCATTAACTTAAATTTAAAAATATTTTTTTAGTCTTTTTTTGAGTATAATGAAGCTTTTGTTTTTTATTAATATATAACTCTCTAAAATACAGATACAATCTATATTTGAATTATATTACATACATATAAAATTATAATATTATGTATATGATTATTTGAAAATTATAAAAAAGAAAATACTTTTAATAAACACTATATATAGATATTTAAATACTAAATATATATATTAAAATAAAAATATAGAAAAAAATCTATCATTTATTATTTTTTTAAATACAATACTTCTTAATTTTATATTTATTACACATTATAATTCTATTTCTTAATAATTTCATGATCAATTCAATTACTATTTTAACATCTTTTCTAATTAATTTAAGATTCTTCTTCAATATTATTTTGAATAAATTAATCTAATATTCACTTTTACTAATATAATATAGCTCTTTTATAGCAAGTTTAATAAAATATTATTTTGTAACTAGAAAAGAGATAATCAAAAAATATATAATATAAGTTATCAAAATAATAAAATTTTAATAAATTATCCTTTATAATTTCTAAATTTGAAAGTCTTATATAATTTTCTTTATATATTATTTGAAATCTTTATTATTATCACTAATTTCCTTATAAATTATAAAAAAAATATATTATTAATCAATTATCTTTAGTAATATAAGTATTTTCTTATAAAAAAAATATATATTATTTATCTGAATTAAATTACTTTATATATATAATTTTTATATTATTAACTTTATATTTATAAAGTAATATTTTTAGTTTATCTAATAGATTATATAATAAGAAAGTTTATAATTTTATTTCATTAAGCTCTTCTATGAATTTTAATAAAATTATAATAAGATTTATTTTAAATTCATATCATTCAAGTTATTTTTTAGTTAATTCAAAAAAGAAAAAGCCAGTTATTTTTCTTTGTTGAAAAATCTCAAAGTGAAATTTCTTAAGTTTTAAATTATTTTTTTATAAATAATTAATAAGCTTCTCAGTATCATAATCTTTAATAATATCTTTTATAATATAAGTTATTTCTTCTTTATCAGAATATATACTTAAAAATGATCTGAAAAATTAAATATATATTGTAAAATCAGTTATACAAATAGTTAGAAGATATGCAAGAGATTAGAATAGAAGATATATAAATATAAATATAATATAATTATCTCTTTATATAAGTATTCTCTCTATAGTTACAATCTTTATATAATCATATAACTTTATGTATTTAAATTTTTTAATAATTGAAATTTCTCTTTACAATCACAATACTATTTATAATTACTATTACAAGATTTCTTGTAACTGAGTTATATATTTATATATTAATACCAATCTCTTTATAATTATAAAATTTGTAATTATTTGATTAGAAAAAAATATAATTGATCAAAAAATTCAATTTTTTAGATAGTTACAAGATAATTTAAAGTATATTTATATAGTAATTTACATAAATAATATATCATTCAAATTGCTAATCATTACTTGTATAGTTCTTAATTATGTAAGAGCTGACTGATAAATAGATTCTATTAATTAATACTAAATACAAGCTTTATATATAAACAAAAAATGAATAAATATTAATCATACTAATTATTTATAAGTTATTTTTTTTCTTCTGAATACTGATATATTTTTTTTGCTCTTTTAAAAAGAGCAAAATAAGTATTAATAAACCTTTTTTTTTCTATATAATAATTTAAAAACTAATATAATTAAAAAATTTTTCTCATACTCATTTTAATATATTTATATATATTTTTTTAGTTTTTATTAAAATATAATATAGCTTACTATAAATTAATATTTCCAAATAATTATATTATTTTAAGAGAAATATAGTACTTGTAATATCATTACACATTATAAAGTTCACTATATAATTATCATAAGACTTAAAAAAATATGAAAAAATAAATAGTATTAAAAATAAATCTAAATTTGACCATTTGCAAAAACTTAATATATATGATAAATGAACTTTTATCTAATAAATTATAATACGTAAATATTTAAATATAATTTAATTATTATTAATCAATAAAAAAATTAGTATAAAGATTAATATTATATGTAGAATATTACATAAATAGGATATAATAACATAAATTAAAAGAAAAAAGCTATATTTATCTGTCAAATATTGTGAAAAGTAATTAGTTTTTGCAAAAAAAATACAAGGAATGGACAATTAATAATTAATTATATATTATATAGTTAGATAAATTAAAATTTTAAATATTTGGATCTGATAGATGCTAATACTGCTAGAAAAAAAAACAAATCATTATAAAATATATACATTTAATTTACAGTTAAATTTGATAGTGATAATATAATAGTATAAGATTATTTTAATATTAATAGTACTGGCTATTTTTATAGGATTAATAAAATAATAAATGATGTATATTATTAATAAATTCTTTTAAACAAACTTCTTTTATTATTAGATTTATATAATTTAATATTTAATAATTTTATTTTTTAGTAGAATAATAATTCTAAATATATTATTAATAAAATATTAAAATAATTTAAAAATCATAATATTTCTATTTTAAAGTAATTATCATAATTCTTTAATCTTAATTCAATTAAAAATTTGTAACATAATATTGATCTTTATCTTTATATATTTCTGAATATAATTTCTAATAAAAATGATTTTTAAAAAGATTAAAGAAGATTTAAAATAATATTAAAATAAATTATTATTTTGATCTGGTTAATATAATACTAAAGAGAATTAGAAATATGATCAAAGTAAAAGAAGAGTATATAAAGTGATAGTATAATATTTTTATATTTTTTTTATTTAATTATATTTTTTTCAAATAAAATTTTATTAATAATTTTATTTTTGCAAATTAATAATTATTATTCATAGTTGGGTATAATAATATTTAATCATTTTTTATAGGTAGCTTAAGTTATATTTATTAATATTATAATCAATCACTTATTCATGTGGTATAATAGATGTGGTACAGCATATGGTACAATTATAGCATGTGATGCAGTAATTATCAATCACTACTAAATTAGATAAATAAGTAATTTTATTAATTAATCTTATTTATAATTAATTCTATTTTTAATCTATTTATTATTCATATTTAGCCTTATTCAAATATTAATTTAGCTATGTATATTACACCTAATTTATAGTTTTATTAAATTAATAATT